CAGGTCCCAACCCTGCGCCGCAGCCAGGTCCCAGCCCTGCTTGTTGTACCTGACACCCCGGTCTAGGCAGCTGCTCCTGCCTGTGCCCACACAGGGCAGAGCAACTCAGGGCAGCTCCTGCCCTCGCTGCCCGGCTCCGCTGGGCCACTGGCACCCACCGTCCACGTGCCATGGAGCGGGCTCAGCTCGTCCCCACCATCAGCAGCTTCGCAGCCCCCACCAGTGCCCCGGGACCCACTGCCGCACAGGCACACACACATGCACGCATGCACAAGCAGACACTCTGCACCCCGTGCTGCAGCCTCCTCCTGCACCCATGCTGGCAGCACCCTACTCGGCACCACTTGCCCTGTGGGGCCAGTGCCGGTGCCAGAGCTGGTGCTGGCTGCAGGCGCCGGCTGCAGGCGCCGCTCACCACCCAGATCCTGGTGCTGCGGCTCATCTTGCCGTGGGGCTCAAACATCCAGCCGTGGTAGGAGAGGAGCAGCTTCAGTGCCTGCCGGAAGAGCAGGACGGCAGAGAGCCAGACGCCGGTGGAGAAGAGCACGGTGCTCACCACTGTCCGGCTCTCGTAGGTCAGGAGGCGGCTGTGGGAGCAGACGGGGTGAGGGGGGGATGTGACAGGTTGGGGGGACATGAAGGGTGTGCCCCCCCCGGGACGTCCCCATGCAGGGCCATGTCCGTGGGGCTGGGAGACATGTAGTGGGACCCCCCGGGGGAGGTGTCCAAGTGGGGATGTGCCAGTGGGATAGGGATGTGTGGGGTGGGACCCCCCCCGGGGGATTGATGCAGGCCCCCATGGTCATGCTGGGGGGTTGGGGGACATGCGGGATGGGTGCCCTGGGAGACATGGCAGGTGGGGCCATCCCCATGGAGTTGGGGGATGCGTGGGGTGGTGCCCACCAAGGGGCATGGCAGGTGGGACCGTGCCCATGGCTTGGGACATGGGAGGTGGTCTCCCCGGGGGATGTGGCTGGGGGAGCAGTGCCCATGGGGGGGGGGGGGGTGGTTCCCCGGGCCAAGCCCCCACGCTCACCTCTTGGGCAGGCAGTGGCGGATGCGGGCGATCATCCCCAGGGAGGGGTCGACCTGGCAGTAGAAGGAGCCGGCGGTGGCAACCATAACCACCATCCAGCTGGAGGGGGAGGCGGGGTAGACGCCGGTCAGGAAGCTGTTCTGTGGGCACAGGGGGGTCAGGGCGGCGGGGGCCGTGGGGACGGGGAGGGTCCGACCATCCAGCTGTCCCTGGCCAGGCCCACCTTGGCGCGGACCAAGCGCTTCTTCCAGGAGGAGATGCCAGCGAGGTAGAGCTGCTTGATGGCCTCGCGGCCGAGGTGGAAGTCCAAGCCCTCGGGGGTGACAGTGAACTGGAAGGCCACGGCCTGGTGAGCTTCCGCCATCCTGGGGGTCTGCCGGCACCTGTGGGGGGGCCACAGGGCTGCTGAGCACGGGGACGGTCACCCCCAGGACGTGCTGCCCGGGATGGAGGGGGGACCCCTGCCCGGCCCCAGCACCACGGCTTGGGGGGGAAAGCCAGGGGGGGGGGGGGGGGTGCCCCTGCCCGAGCCGGAGGGGGGGTCTGCCACGTCGCTGCCCGGGCCAGTGCGGTGCATGGGCACCAGAGCGGCCTCGGAGGCAGCGTGCCGGCAGCGGTGCTAGGACGGCCGCATCCTGTGGGATCCTGCCAGCCCAGTGCGCGTGCTGCGGCCCTGTCACGCGGCGCTGGCTGGGCGCCCACTGAGGGAAGGGTCAGTGACGCTGCCAGCCCCAGCACCGTCCCCAGAGCTCGGGGAGATGGGAGGGCGGCGCGGACACACCCCCGCTCGCGGGCAGCTGCCTGACCCCTGCCCACGGCAAAAACTTCGGAGGACGAGGCAGCACCTGCCCCTGCGCCGGCACACGGCACACGCCGTCCCCACGCAGGCAGCCACGGTTGCGCCAAGAACACTGCCGGCCGAGGCACCAGCAGGAGCTGTGGGGCGAGGAGGGACCCAGCTGTGGGCACAGCCGGGCTGCCGCGGGGTCCCCGGGGACTGTCTGGTGTCGGCGTAGCCAGTGCTGGCCCAGGGCTCGGCCCAAGGGCTGCTGGGCCCACGGGTGCTGCTGGAGCCCAGGCCTCGGAGCGGGGGGAGCCACCGGTGCGGGTGTGCGGGGGTTGCCCTTTCACATGGGTGTCCTTGGGCTGAAGGCAAACAGCAGCAGCTCGGCCAGAGCCAAGTCACACTGCTACCGCTGCCCCATACGGCTACACCATGCTGCATGGAACTGCACTGCACCGCACAGCTACACCACACCGCACTGCACTGAACCGCACCACATGGCCACACCACACTGGACTGCACCGCACCGCACTGGTGTGTGTTACAGTGCACTGAATTGCATTGCTTGGCACTGTGCTGCACCACACCATGTTACGCTGCACCGCATGGCATGGCACTGCATTAAATCGCATCACCCTGTGCTAGTGCGTTGCAGTGCCCCACTGCAGGCAATCACCCTGCACTGCACAGCACTGCATGGCATGGCACTGCACAGCACGGCACAGCATGGCACAGCATGGCTGCAGGCTGCCCTGCACCACTCCCCGTTGCTTGCAATCACCCTGCACTGCATGGCCCAGCACTGCATGGCGCGGCACAGCGCAGCAGGGCGCGGCACTACATAGAATAATACACAGCACTGCATGGCACGGCACTGCACAGTATGGCACAGCATGGCACAGCGCACCAGGGCATGGCACTGCATAGAATCATGCACAGCATGGCACTGCATGGCACAGCGCACCAGGGCATGGCACTGCATAGAATCATGCACAGCATGGCACTGCACGGCATGGCACAGCACAGCGGGATGTGGCACTGCATAGAACCATGCACGGCACTGCATGGCACGGCACTGCACAGTATGGCACAGCATTGCACAGCATGGCACAGCGCACCAGGGCATGGCACTACATAGAATCATGCACAGCACGGCACGGCACGGCACGGCACGGCGCACCAGGACGTGGCACTGCATGGAATCGTGCACAGCACAGCACGCCACAACACACCAGGACGTGGCACGGCACAGAATCACGCGCGGCACGGCCCAGCGTGGCACAGCACGGCCTGGCACTGTGCTGCCTGGCACGGCAGCACTCCCCCTCCGGGGACCCCGCAGGGCCCACGCCCGCGGGTGGGACGAGGCCCCC